TTCAAATAGACGATACCATTCAAAAACTCGGGAACTATCAGTGTGGATTAAACATGGAATAACCTTGTGCTATGAACTGTTTATTAAGAAACTAGCAAGTACTACAAACTAATTATTTGGATATCCCATACAAAAGAGAAACTTTAACGATACCCATTGTCAAAAACGAAACGACTGCTAATTACCTCTAAGGCCATTTTTAGGCCAGGTAAAAGTTGAGGTGTTACAGGCTGCTATTTATACTTCCTCAATTACAAAGTTTTGGGGGCGCCATGTAGGACAAATTACACTTAACGTCTTGTTTCGTGGCCAATTGGTATTAGTCACCCCTACCCTTCCTGCCATTGCTATGGCGTAGTTAGTTACGTTCTCAGTTTCCGTAGATGATCTTTATTTTCGGTTTAATTCTTATGTTTAATCAGTTATATCGAAGAAACCCTTGGTAAATAACTAAATAACAGTTATTTGAGCAACCTTCATCATCAACATTTTTCCCTGTGCGAGAGAACACTGTTAGAGTCAGGGAAACTATCCACCTACCCCTCCCCCTGACCCAAAATTTTGCCCTAAGAGAGAGAGAAACTACCCACCAACCACACCTCTAAACCAACACTTTTTCCGCCGTGAGAGAACAATATAAGACTCTGGAAAACTATCCACCTACCCCTCCCTCTGACCTAACATTTTGCTCCAAGTGAGAAAACAGTATATGGTTCCCATAAGCCGTTCCCTCTGAGTCTCTGTTTCCAGTCTCTTTGGCTATACTAAGACCCATCTGATACAGAGCGAGTGCTTTCTTAAACTCACCGGCAGAGGAATAAACAGAACCAAGGCTCACATATGCCTGTCCTTCTACGTCTTTGTTTCCGGTCTCTTTGGCGATGCTAAGACCCATCTGATAGAGTTCGAGTGCTTTCTTAAACTCACCGAGACAGCGATAAGCATTACCAAGGTTCACATATGTCACTCCTTCATCGTCTTTGTTTCCAGTCTCTTTGAAGATACTAAGGCCTATCTGATAGAGTTCGAGTGCTTTCTTAAACTCACGGAGAGAGCTATAAACATTACTAAGGTTCCCATATGCCGCTCCTTCTGAGTCTCTGTTTCCAGTCTCTTTGGCGATACTAAGACCCATCTGACAGAGTTCGAATGCTTTCCTAAACTCACCGAGAGAGAGATAAGCATTACCAAGGTTCACATATGCCGCTCCTTCGGAGTCTCTGTTTCCAGTCTGTTTGGCTTCCTTCAATTGTAATTCGAAGTAATCCCGAGCTGTTTTAAACTCACCACGCCCGAGAGCTGCAATTCCAAGATGATCACGGCCCAAGCAAACCTTAGTGGAAACAAATATATGTCTATAGTCATTTCATGCCAAAAACATTTTATTATTTTTTTATAATATGGCTGGCTCCGCGATTGGGCGAGATGAAGTCTATACTGTGTTCTGACTACCGAGCTACTTGAGCGGACAAGATCTGCCTATCTTCTTTGCTCTGCTATATTCTTATAAGAAAACTTCTTTTTAAATTCGTTTCTATGGACCTCGAATTCTTCTCGGTCCGATCCATTTAGAAACGCACGGCAGTACACCCCCCTTTCCGGTTGAGTTCCTTCTGCTTACAGGGAAAATTAAACAGGTTGGAGTGATCCTCCGTTCTTGCGGAGAACGTGCGTTTTCCATCGAATCGTCGGTTTTTCAGGCAAAATGGTTGGACGTGATCATTGTTAGCTACTTTTATGTATGCAGTAGCTATCGTAAATGTCCTCATGGCAAACAGTAGCGACGTAAATCTTGCCAAACCTCGATACGTACATTTTGCATAACTATGAAATCGTCGTCTCGTTTTGATAGAATAAACAAACTCAACCGCGATTACTCGTATTGACAGTTTTTTCACATGTTTGCCCCTAAGAAACCACGTGACATTGCGTTTATCCCATCAGTCCTTTAGGGCATACAAAGATAGCGGGTATTGTGAATAAGGTCTAGTGTTTGAGTAGTAATAGACGGGGGGTTCTGCGCAGTGGTGGAGGTGGTGGAGTGACGTCACAATTGCTCAGGGGATTAAAATGATTAGATCATCATCTAAAAATAGAAATTCTGTCTAACAATCTAGGGAGTTGACGTCATCAAAAACGATGAGATCATCAAAATAATCATTTAATATGGTAACTGGTGAGATGACATCATCAGCTTAAATTAGAAAGGGTTTTTTGGCATGATCAGCTATTTTCTATAGTCTATGACATCATTATTTATTTTATCTTTTTAAGATCATATTAATGAAGGTTATTATTATTAATTATTATTATCATCCAAAACGAAAATGGGTATTATTCAGTCTTTCATAAGAATAAAGTTTAATCATCATCATATGATCGCGAGAGCCATAGTTCCCTCGTTGTATACAATTTAGTACCGCTCTGCAGGAAAAGCCCCAAGAGAGAACCTTCAAGTAACTTATCATAAAAACAATAAAAACATAAAATAACTTAACTAGGATCAATTGAAACACGCGACTTACAATTGCGAGCAATAAAGTTTTTAAAAAAACTTTATTAAAAACCAATAACAAAAGAGTCAAATACACAGCGATTTGAAAGGGAAAGGAATGAAAATTGATCCTTTGACTGACTATTACAAATTCGTTTTCTCCGTTCTATTACGAGGAATAATAAATAATTCTTCCGTGTCTACACAATTTTCCTATAGCCTCTAAGCCAAGAGTTCGACTTTCTTTGTTTCTTTCGGTTTGTCTTGTTCTTTGTAGTTGTTCTTTTAGCTTTTGCTTTAAAAGAGGCTTTATTTCTTCGTGATCTTGACAGTTCGTACACCGTTTCTTGTGTCTGTACTGGACTGCGAGTACTAGTTGAGTGATTTTTTCCTGAATTATCCGCTTCACCTTCGTTAACGGCGACTTTAACTTTAGGTTGCAGTTTCGCCTCTTGTAAATACTGTCTTTGCTGTATGTGGTCTAACTGATGAACATCCGTGAGATGGTTAGCTAATCTGACAAGGTATTTCGCCCCGCACCATAAAATCAGACAGTTTTAATTAGGCACTGTTATTTGCGATTACACTTAATAAAGATGATGATTCCAATATTAAAAGCTGTTGGGTAACAAGCGACGCGCGATACCCACGCGTGTGTACGAGAAAAAATACATGACTGAAAATGGCCCGTTTGTCTCCTTTTGTCTCTTTTGGCCTGGTTTTGGCCTTTCTGGCCTGGTTATGGCCTTTCTAATACTCTGTATAACCTGACTATTTGCGAAATAGAAGTCATTTGTGTTCAGCCATCGAACTAACAACAGTTTTTTGAACATGGTTTACAAGAGAGTTTGCAAAAACTGTCCGATTTTATGGTGCGGGGCGAAGTACCTTGTCAGATTAGCTAACCATCTCGCGGATGTTCATCAGTTAGACCACATACAGTAAAGACAGTATTTACAAGAGGCGAAACTGCAACCTAAAGTTAAAGTCGTCGTTTACGAAAGTGAAGCGGATAATTCCGGAAAAAATCACTCAACTAGTACTCGCAGTCCAGTACAGACACAAGAAACGGGGTACGAACTGTCAAGATCACGAAGAAATAAAGCCTATTTTAAAGCAAAAGCTAAAAGAACAACTAAAAAGAACAAGACAAACCGAAAGAAACAAAGAAAGTCGAACTCTTGGCTTAGAGGCTACAGGAAAATTGTGTAGACACGGAAGGATTATTTATTGTTCCTCGTAATAGAACGGAGAAAACGAATTTGTAATAGTCAGTCAAAGGATTAATTTACATTCCTTTTCCTTTCAAATCGCTGTATATTTGACTCTTTTTGTTATTGGTTTTTAATAAAGTTTTTTTAAAAACTTTATTGCTCGCAATTGTAAGTCGCGTGTTTCAATTGATCCTAGTTAAGTTATTTTATGTTTTTATTGTTTTTATGATAATAAGTTAGCTTAAGTTACTTGGAGGTTCTCTCTTGGGGATTTTCCTGCAGAGCGGTACTAAATTGTATACAACGGGGGAACTATGGCCCTCGCGATCATATGATGATGATTAAACTTTATTCTTATGAAAGACTGAATAATACCCATTTTCGTTTTGGATGATAATAATAATTAATAATAATAACCTTCATTAATATGATCTTAAAAAGATAAAATAAATAATGATGTCATAGACTATAGAAAATAGCTGATCATGCCAAAAAACCCTTTCTAATTTAAGCTGATGATGTCATCTCACCAGTTACCATATTAAATGATTATTTTGATGATCTCATCGTTTTTGATGACGTCAACTCCCTAGATTGTTAGACAGAATTTCTATTTTTAGATGATGATCTAATCATTTTAATCCCCTGAGCTATTGTGACGTCACTCCACCACCTCCACCACTGCGCAGAACCCCCCGTCTATTACTACTGGTGATAAAAATAACTGATTTGAAAAAATGACAGAAAATTGCATTTCATTAATAAACGCCGAGTTGAACCTGCTGATTTTTAAATAAACGCCGGGGGCGTTTAATCGATCAAAAAAAAAAAATGGTACTTCATTTCCGAGTCTAATTTGGCTTTTCAAAGTAGTGTCTATTTCAATTATGCCTTTTTCAAAAATTGGGCTGAAATCTATTAATAGTTCTTTGATGAGGCTCTTTCGGCATTTTGGCCTAAACTGATCCCAAAATAGCTTCACGAGGGGCTGGCTGTGGGCCTTACCGTAGTGTAGTGGTTTGCATATTTTAATTAGCCATAGAGCTATGCTAGCTGGAGTCTTTGACTCTTGCTAGGGCGCACCCATTTCGACCAGGTCAAAAGATAGAGACCAGACTAAGTGTGATCCCCTGGTCACCCAGGTTGGGCTGAGGGCTGATAACCCTCTCCCGTAAACTCTGTTATCGGAGAAACCAAAAGCAGAGAAAATTCACTTTATCAAGGGAACACTGTGGCTAGTCCAACAGGACGCCACCGAGCTGAATAGGCCACTGGTACACCCCCAAAACATCATGAAGATCGGAAACTGGAATGTACGTACACTGTACAGAAGTGGTAACATTGCGCAGGTACCTAGAGAAATGACCTTTAAAATCTTAGACATCATGGGTATCAGCGAAACACACTGGACAGGGCAAGGGAAAATGCAACTAACAGAAGAAACCATCATTTACTCTGGAAGAAATGAGGACAATCATAGAGAAGGAGTAGGTATACGGATGTTAGCAAGAGCCCTGATGGACTGGCTCCAATCAGTGAAAGGATCATTCAGGTACGGTCCTCTTCCCAGCACATCGAGCTGCACATCTATGCACCTGCAGAAGAGGCGGATGAGCAAGTGAAAGAGGAATGGGACTGCAAGATGTACTAGACAAAAGGAACAAACATGATTTGCTGATCTTCACTAGAGACGTGAACGCTAAGGTCGGAGAAGAAAACTGGGATTATGATAAAGAAATTGGCAAGCATGGGCTGGGACAGCGAAAGGTTCTGCGAATTTTGTGTTATGAATGAGCTAGTCGTCACAGGAACACTCTTCCCACCTAAGAAAATACACAAGGCAACATGGGTATCGCCAAATAGAATAACCAGGAATCAGATAGATCACGTGCTAATTAATAAAAAATTAAGGGATTCAGTGAAAGAGGATTTTTTTTAGGGGGCGGGGGTGGACTCAAATTTTTTGGAAAGGGACAAGGGGGGTTTACCTAATCTTTTGACAGACGAAGGGTCAAGATTGGGGTTGTCAAAAAATTTTGTTGATGTGGGGGAGGGGAATCTTAAAAAATTTTGCCCATTTAAAAAGTATCCTCTGCCCCCCCTTGCAGTATACATAATGGATGCAGCCTTAAAATAGCCCCGAAGAACAGATAACAGGTGCTTGAGGATGAAGTGCTAGAAATAGAGGAAGACGAAGGAATAGAGCATGACTTTCAAGTGATGGAGAAGGCGTAAACAAAGGTTGCAGAAAAAGTTCTGGGTAGACCATGAAAGAGGAAGAAACCATGGATCAGTGACAAAACATGGAACCTTGTTGACCAAAGGGAAGAAATCAGTAAAAACATTCTCAGCACAGGATCAGAAAGGGTCAAGAGACAACTTAAGGGCGAAGTATACAGCAACGGACGGAGACGTTAAGAGGAGTATAAAAGCAGATAAAAGGAAGTGGACGTAGAACCTTGCTGATGAAGCAGAAGAAGCTGCAAAGAGCCAACAAATAGACACTATACGGGCTCGCAAAGATGCTGTGCAATGAAAGATCTAGACAGAGTTCAACGGTTCTAGACCAGAATGGAAACCTCATCAGTAGTAAAAGTGGAGTAAAGGCAAGATGAACTGAACACTTTAAGGAAGTGCTAAATAGGGAAGCACCACCAAACTCAATAACTGACGATCAAGAGGATGACGTCTATGACACAGTAGAAGAGATTTTAATAGCAGTAAGCAAACCAATTCTAGGATAAGAAGTGAAGTCGATGACAGGTGAAGGATAGAACAGGCAGGATATAGAAAAGGCAGGGGTACGACAGAACAGGTATTTATACAGCTGAACATCATTAAACAGGTTAACGAGTGGCAAGCAACACTCTATCTGAACTTCATAGATTTTGAAAAGGCGTCCGACTCTATCCACCGAGAAAGCATTTGGGCAATCAGAAAGAAAAATGGAGTGCCATAAAAGATCATCAGAATGGTAAAAATATTCTATGAAGACTTCAAGTGTACTGTAGAAGACCAAGGAGAAATAGGCAAGGGGTTTGACATTAAAACCGGCGTCAAACAGGGATGTAACATGTCAGGTTTTTTGTTCTTGATTGTTATGGATTGGGTCGTGAGAAGGACAGTTGGTCATGGTAAGAATGGTATTAGGCGGAAATTCGCATCTAAATTACACGACCTAGACTTTGCAGATGATGTACATGTAGTGCTAATATCCTCTACCAAAGAGCAGATTCAGGATAAGAAACAGCAAAAATGGATGAAGAAGGCACACGAGTGGGATTAAAAATCAACACGGAGAAGACAAAGGTGATGAGAATTAAGGCAAAGAACCAGGAACTAATTATGATAGACGGACAAGGAGTAGCAGAAGTGGATGAGTTTACTTACTTGGGAGCTACAGTTTGTAAAGAGGAAGGCGCCGGTATGAAAGACCCGAAAAACAGACTCTCAAAAGCGAGAAATGCATTTGTCAGACTGAAGAGGATCTGGCGCTCAAAAACCATCCCTAGAAGAACAAAACTGTATAAAACACTGGTAGTGCCAGTTCTGTTGTACGGGTGTGAAACATGGAAAGTGAACGAGGGGGATGACTGAGCAGAGGATGCGTTTGATAACAAGTGTCTACGAAGAATCCTACAGATCCAGTGGCAGGACCATGCCAGTACTGAAGAGCTGCTACTAAGAAAGAGCAGATATGAAACCTATGAGAAAAGAAGTGAAACAGCGTAGACAGAAGATTGGACATACACTAAAACAGGACCAAAACAGCGACTGCAACATAGTAATGACTTGGGCACCAGAAGGAAAAAGAAGAAGAGCAAGACCAAAAACCACCTGGAGGCAAACGGTTGAAAAGGAAAGGGCAGAAGCGGAATGGCGATCGTGGCAGGAAGAGTGAAGACCATTGCGGCTAACTGAGATTTGTGGAGGGACTCTGTGAAGGTCTTATGTGCCACGAGGCACGAAGAGTATCGGTGAGGTGAGGTAAAAAGGGTACAAGGTTTCGGCGCAACGATTTATGGGATCGTTTGGGTGGACAAGCTTTAGCTATGATTGGTCAGTGGTACTCAAGGCGACCAAATGATCTTCGCGCCGAAAGCTTGTACCCATCCCTCTCACAGTATCTGGAGTGGCGAATGAATTAAATGCACAAGTATGAGGTGAGGGCTCGCTTTACCGGTTTAGCTCTCATACATCCGCAAAAAAAACTTTCGCATCAATAGTTTGAGAAAATGGCTTGAATTTTTCAAACGCTTATCAAGAAGAAATAGCCGCCCGAATTTCCGACTCAAAAAAGTAGCAAGAATACACAAAAAGGGTGTCGACTCCTTTTTAAAGTATTATCTGAAAGAAAAAAACCGTTCCTTTTCATGAACTGCCAACAAACTGGAAAACGTTTTGAAGAAATTTCACGCAGAGTTAAGAATGTCGTGTGTTTGGCCTTGAAAATGGGGTAATTATGTCACTCAGCTTTCATACAAACTCCATCCTCGTTCGTCTTAATTCATCCAACGATGCTTATTCAATAGCGCTGATAGGTACTTCATCCTTACCTCTTCTCCATCTTGCAGTTTCTTTTGTTCTCTCTCTGATCTGCTCCGCAATTCCAACAACTTCTGATTATTCGGGTCTGTCTTTTAATAGTTAAACTGCTAAATAACTTTTATTAAAATGCGAAAAAAGCTACCAAATGTGAAACCAATTTAGAAAAAGCAAAGAGATTGTCTTAGTGTCACCTTGCCCTGGTGAGATTCTGGATGCGGCCGCCTTATGTAAGGTCATCTGGGTTCCTGAATCTGAGAGATTTTTGGCTAAGAATTCTAGAATCCTGGGCTTTGAAATGTAGCTCAAGGAATGCGGAAATCCGTTAACGATTTGAATCCGAAATCCAAGTTCCCCTGACAAGGAATCCAGAATCTTGCTCCTGGAATCCGGAATCCACTGAATGGAATCCTGGGATTACCTTACATGGAGCAAGATGTACTACGCAACTAAAGTGTGGTCCCCAGGGCACCTAAACCGTTTATCCTAACAGAACGCTGCAAGAATACAGAGACGTGCAAACAAGCCTAAATAGGATATGGTTTTTATGCTAATACCGCCAAAAACACAAAAAACCAATCGCGCACGTTTGAAGTTATTTTCATTTTTCTTTACCTCAGGTGACCATTCCGTGCGCCCCTTTTGTCATATGACACTTCCTCCCTTTTAGAGATTAGAAGCAATAGCGAAACTTGTAGTTGAAATGATCGTGAATGCTTATCGAAGAACTTTTGATCACAGCAAATCAATGGAAAAAGATTCGAGGTTTCTGATTATTAGTATCATCAATAATAACGTTGATAGGGGATATTTTAAGCTGTAACGAAGAATGATCCTGGGAAAATTTCTCTATCAGCTACAGTAAATAAAAAAAGCTAAAAGATACTGCTAATCCCTTATCACACCAGCTGATGGCCTCGGCAAATGCTTTCAACTGAATGCAGGCTTCTGCTCCTGTAATCATGATGAAGTTAAATTCATCTACATATGGATTTGCCATGGTTATATTGAATGAGCACAGTAATCGACAATGGAACAGAGATTTGAGTTATATAATGTCCGAATAATGGCTGGTAAAGAGCCCATAACCCGCGGAGCGAGCAACGTCCATGCGTTCGTGTCACGGCGCTTTCACGGACCGGTTTATTTTTAGAACGGCTTTGGCGCGAATTTTGAATATCTTTTAAATTCCACAAGCCAGTCAGCAAAACCTACAGACCCAAAAATGATGTTTTTTTGCCTTTTATTATCGTTTAGCTTTCCTTTTGATATCTTATGCTTCGAATGCGCTTATAGACATGGTGTAGATTGTTTTTTCGAGGGAAAAAGTGCTCTAAAATGTGTCTAAAAATAAACTGGTCCGCAAAAACGCCGTGACGTAAGGCCAAGTATGGGAGTTGCTCGCGCCGGGTTATGGGCTTCTGTGGTGGTGTAATGGATTAGAAGACAGGGTATCTCCACGTAATCCTCTGTTGACCTTAATGATCTTGCAAGTCAAGAGCCATAATAGGACATGGTCACTTGAACGGTAACGCTTATCCGGGCCGCAATGCTACTTGTCCTCTCTCCAGCTGTTCAAACAAAAACGATGGTCACGCGGTCGCTTTAACCGATTTCTACCGTTGCTTGTAAAGGACCCTTTTGTGTTGAAGTTTTAAGCAGTTTCTACGGTAGGTTCTTTGTTGAAGAGGGCCAATTTATCAACTCCACATCGTCCCTCCACTTGTGCCGCCATTTTTTTTATTTGTTGACACCGCCTCGCTTTGGCGCGCTGAATCGTGAAAGCGAGTCTTCCGGAAGTCAATCAGTTTACCGGAAACTGTTTCCGTGTGGTCCGCATAGTTCTAAAACTAACTTTTTTGGAATTAAGATATCCCGGCCAACGCCCTGAGTGTCCCTCTCTGTCCTATTATGGCTCTTGGCAATTATACAAATTACATGACTGAAAAAAGGCTTCAGTTCAAGAAACGATGGTACGATTTAGAGCCTGCGATCAGGCGTTCTCGGGATCGCAGGTTACTATTTAACACACAGGTAATATCGCCCAGGCTGCATCTTACCACATCGATACCATGAT